TTTTTGTCCAAGTTGTAGGAGCCGCACTAATTATGAGGAACAGGCCCTGTACAAAAATCTACATGCAGGTTTTATTGCTATTTACTTTTTTCCGAATTCTGAAGCACTAAAACGGCCGCAGCGCCTAAACTAAAATATCTAGCAAAAAAAGTCAAAGAGGCAACGTTGATCAGAATGTAATTATCTACAACTTTCATACAGGACATTTTATCGAAAAAAAAAAATCAGAAAAAGGCCGATAGGGCCGAGCGCACAAGGCTTTCGAGGGTGATTTTTTGACTCAATACTCAGGACACAGTCTCCAATCAGCTCTGGAAAAATCAGCGTGCCCTCATAATTTTTTTTGAAAAACCCATATATTCACTGGACTAATATTCTTTTCATTTGAAATGGCTGACTATGCCGGAATCGTAATTATGTGTGAACTGATGGCCAATGTTGACGACATGGTGGATTATCTCTATAACGTAGATGAATATAAAAAAAATTGGAGCTATAAAGGCTATCAAACATGAGAAATAAATTGGTATGTAAGTACTGGAGTAAAAAATACCATCATTCAAAAAAACTTCATCAGAAATACAGAGTATCAAGTCTAAGTAGTAACAGATCACCACAGGTATGCGGAAAGGGGACAAAGGCAAAAGTAGTTGACTGATCGTTGCTACTTATTGTATGTGACTGATACCGCGCAGATGATTCCTCTCCAACATCAAATACTTTCGGTAACACAATAATTCGCTGAGAAAGCATAATTAAATTCTGAAATTTGTTGAGTATATAGTCGAAGAAGACTTGCTGTTCCATTTGTGTATCACTTTCAGTCGTGTTATGGGGTCGCTTGAAGTCTGCTAGTGGCTGTTCCAGAAAATTGAAAGACTGTTGTGGAGTCACAAATTTACAGAGGATAAGATTCCACGGAGGATCAACTCTCCCGACGCTAGGAAGGGCCCAGGACTTTTCCGCTCAAAACACATGCTAAAGCTCTTGTAGCGCCCCTTTTCATGATCTTTGACGATCGCTTTGACGCATCCTTTGAAACAGAAATTTTCCATAGTCTGGGAGCAGTCAACATCATTTTCAGTATTTAAACGCAGCAACAAGACCCACAAAAAAAAATATAGAAGTGTTTGCTCACAATCCATCAAGCCAAAGATATTATTTGAATCTATTGTGTCCTGAATCGAAACTACGCGAAACTTCTGCCATCAAGTAATGGTTAAATTTTGACAGATGAAATTTTCTGAACATTCAAACAATACATAAGCCAGGGAAGGCCTGTGGAGCCTCAAGGGTCAGATTTGGTTTCAATCCTTTTTTGTTGTTCATTAATGACGTGTTGTCAGTTTTTGAATCTTGTGATTGTCTTTTTTACGAGGATGACTAAAGTTTCTCAACCAGAACATACTCATTAGATGACTGTAGTGACTCAGAATTATTAACTAATTCTTTCCAGGTGTAAGGAAAATATGTTGGAACCTCGGTTGGACTTAATAGAAGTGTAAAATTATATATTATATTGTCAACCCTACATAGGACCACGGGCTACAACCAAATTCAATACACTGAACCACGGGTTAAAACAAATAACTGAAACTAAGCAAGAAAACACAACCAGACTAATTAACCTAATTATAGTCAGCAAATATTGGATATAAAAGCAACGGGCCACACTATGGTAGATCAGTCGTGTCTAAGTGCTTTTCTGTATCAGTAGGTGTTTAGACACAATCAATCAATCAATCAATCAATCAATCAATCAATCAATCAAATAATGCTTTATTGTTATGAAACATGAAATGTTGTCTCAAAGTCGGAAGCTATCTGGCCAAATAGGGATTGCGTATCGTATCTCTGTCCGAGCAGATTTCATCTGACGACCCAGACTCTGTGAGTCGTATCTCAGCGCTTCTGTGTATCAGTAGGCGTTTAGATGCGCCTCAAAGTCGGGAGCTATCTGGCCGAATAGGGATTGTGTATCGTATCTCTGTAGGAGCAGATTTCATCTGACGACCCAGACTCTGCTCTGCAGTATAGGCTTCCTAGCTTTTATTGTAGTGTTGGTTTGGTTTTGTTAGCAACTGCTGACCACAAAGATCAAGCTTGGGCTTATACCCGACGGATTCGCTCAGGTGCCCTTAGATCCTTTTCAGTCCGAAGGGACGTGCTGGCTCGGGATGATAACAATTTGGTAATACTTGTGTGTTGTACTCTAAATGTAATCTCTGCCCTAGAGCATTATAGTATATTACATACCGAGTAAGGAAGTGTTTCATTACTGTCGAGAGATTTATATAGTCAATCGAGACACAAAGCGTAGAGATCGACTATTAATCTCGAGACAGAAATGAGAACTTTTCTCCGAGGTTTGTATACTATTTTATTTGCAAGCACACCATTAATTTTGATTAGTCATTTAATTTTTTTATATTAAAAAAATAAAACAGACATGCCAAAATGTGTCATTCACTGTTTTGACGTTTTTACGTGACATGTTCTCATTGTTCACTTCCAAATTTGTCACTTCCAAATTTTTAAAAAGTCAGTAATGTCAAGATTACATATATGGTTGCAAATAAAATATATTATATTTATCTAGAGTTATTCTGGTGTTCCTTTTCCGTTCTGATTTTCAGGGTGAATAGTCGAGCTATGTAGCGAAGCAAGAGAGGTTTCGTGACAATATATAAATATAACTATGTAATAAAAGATACACTAATTAAACTTAATGATCAAGAGCAAGAGGTGAACAGATCTGGCAGATGGTGTTCAAGAAAATCACCTGAGGACTGAGCAGGACCTGGATCAACAGGACAGCAGGCAAAACTTTTTTTCGGAAAAAAGGGGAGAGTTGGATAGATTGTTATTTGAAAGCGGAAAATGAGAACATCGTGATACAATCATGAACGAGTTTTGTTCTCCAATGCTCGTTTGTGCTCGTTCTTGATCATTTATCAAAACTGGATGCTTAGCACGTCTAGGACCACACAGGACAGGACTCGGTAGGACCATGCAGAATTTGGCATAACTTGAAAATTTGCCTTTGCAAGAGGTGCACAAAGTTTTTGGATACCTCTGTAAATATATTCAATGATTTAGGTATTTTATTTGAAATTTGATCTTTAAAAGACATATTGACAATATTATGTTAGAGAGTATGAATCTTTTGGGTTTTGTTTATAGAAATTACTCGACTCTCGATGTTTTTATAAGCCAAATCCATTTTGTATACAATTGCTCAGCTCAGTAAGGTCACCTACGCCCTCCAGAGGGTACAAAATAGGTTCTGCAAGTTTATGTTGCTTAAACATAAATTTTAGTATGGAATATTCTTTAGGAGACATAGAAAGTCAGTTTATTGGCTTACTGCTCTGGAGCACCGTAGACGGAATACAGAGACATTCTCACTATTAAGTTTTCAATAGGCTCATCGAAGCTGGTTATCGTCTAAAGACAGCGATTCTTTGAGATATCAACTATTTAAAAATTACAGTGACCACTGATTGTAATTTATTTGAGCATTCCTTTTGGCTATAGTATTATGACGCATAACTGAACTCGGCAGGTTGACCATCCATATTCAAAAATACAGAGGAATGATCTGTAAAACTAGGAAAATTTCTAATTTCTATATATTCTAATTAATTTTGGGCAAATATTTCTTTCAAAATTGATTATTAAGCTGTTAAAAAAAAAATTGGAGCATAGACTTCATAAACGGGACGCCGCGCCGGTGCATGCTTCTGGAAGACTAATTTAAAAATACAATAGAAAGACATTCACAATTCTTTTTCCCCCAAGTAACATATTCCCTTATTGTTTTATTTCTATATACAGACATCAATGTATGCCTAAATCCGAGCCTAAATCTGAAGCTAGAATATTAACTAAAAAGCAAATGAATAATAAAATTTACAATATGACGTTAACTTTTTTACCAAGGTCAGCCTTTGAAGGTAATATTTTAGATGTACTGTGTTATTATTAACAATACCTAGTTTGTTTATGTCGCCTGCCAGGTTTAACACCCACATCAAATCAAATCTCTGCTAGCTGTTATCATTGAATCAGTTTTATTCTTCCCTATCATTATGACAAACTCTTTTAGGGCATCAAAGTTATTAATTTCACAGAATAGGTATCTGTGATGGATGATTTTCGTGGTGAGTGTGCAGCAAATGAAGCCAATGTAACACGCATGGCTGAGGCACTTAATCAATTCGAGTCGTTTGGAGTTTTGTATAGAACCACCATGCAATTTGTGTTATTTCCAAAAATATTTTTTTTTTCCAATTGTAGAAAATCTTTGTTTTAGCGTGAAAATTACCATGAGGCAACTATGTAGGTGGATGAGCATTGTGATAGACCAGGCAAATGAATTGAAGAATTTGAATTTGAATTACAGATCACAGCTACTGAGCATAAATAAATAATGACGTATTTCAGAGTTTTTGGAGTTTCAGATTTTAAAAGGTGGAAAATGGGGATGAAAGTTTGTATGGGAATATCGCTTTTTGTAAAGACAGGAACTTTGAAATTGAATATGTAGCTACTCAGAATGAATAACGCGTTCAAAGCTGCGAACATCAGCTAGTTGAGCAGCTAGTATTTCTTTACCGCCCCAAGAACGGTTTCGGAACCACTCTGTATACAAATTACGGATTCTCCCCACAAATTTTACGTTTTGCGTAAAATCCTGACGGTGGAATGTATGGTTCCCTGCTAGGTTGGAACAAAGCCTTAATCTATTCATTATTCACCTCTTTAAAGAAAATAGGAGTTTTCTTTTGTATATTTCCATCCTTTGTTAGTTAATCAAAATTCTAATCCTAATTATAAAATGTCAGAAATGTTATCGTAATCATATAAGGATAATGGTTTTATCACTATAAAAACATGAAACAGGAACAAGAACACAATGCCAATCCAAATACATACAGTTTTAAAGTTATGTTAATGTTATTTTGTTAGTTATTAAAAAAAAAAACAAAAATTCTCACCATCATGTTCTATACTAAGACTAGAAAAATGTAGAGGGTGGCCATCTGAAATCAAATATTAATTATAGAAATAAGTATACTTATCAGAAATTAAAAATTTAGCTAAATCAATTTTCCACTCTTAGGTTCAAAAAAACTTATTTTCAAGCTAGGTTGAAAGTTTAAAGTTAGAACGATTACATCATAAGGAATACTCCATTACTTTTGCCGGCCATCAATAATGTTATTGAAGAGGGCTATGCAGGAATTTCCAACCCAACCCATAGAAATTCAAAGTATTTGGCTTTAGTGTTATTTTGGTTTTACATTCTACAGTGTGTCCACTTAAATTCGCAGCATATGGGAAACTCTTTTATAATACCACAAATCTGATAAATTGAAAAATTTTATTAGCCATCAATATCAAACTAGAATTAATGTGAACAAATATCTAGAAACACCAATTGTCTCCACAACTAAGAAATTGAGATCAGTATTATATCTTGCACCCAAACTGTATAATCTGTTACCACCTCACATTAAGCAATTAGATCTGAAGCGATTTTGTGTAGCTTGCAGAGATTTCATCTATGTAAATTTAGATACTTTTAAGAACATTTTCAACTAGTGGGTTCTTTGATTGTGTTATCGGTGGCTTAGATATTGGATAATTTATTGTGTGCATATATATGTATATATATATAATATACAAGTATATATTGATATATTTATTCCGCGTATTTTTGAGTGCCCCTTGGATACTTTTTCCTTAAGGAATAGATTTTATTTTATTGTTACTTTTTAAAACATATGCTACTTTGCACATACAGGTATTTAGTTACCTAGGTGCATTATTTCATTGTAGGGATTATACTTATTACATACAATGTTATTACTACATGTACTATATAGTACGTTGAATTGAAATGTAACTAATTAGTATTTAGCATGTTTTATTTTATTCTTATATTGAATAGTAAATAATTATAAAACAAATGTATTATGAAATATTTAAATCTGAATAAATCTGAAATTAGTTATACTACTGATAAATAAATAAATAAATAAATAAAAATAAATTATCAATTTTACAGAAAAAAGTTATTCTTCATAAAAGTTTCTGCTTCTTAAAAAAATGATATTGAACTATTAAAACTTGGAATAGCATGTTTAGGGTGGTCAGAAAATAGGAAAATATATAGGGTGTTTCCTAGATACGGTTCGTAACTTATGGATGTGATTCCTTACAATATTTTACGAAAAAACGTTTCCATAAACATTTGTCCGGAAATGCGTAATTTCTGAGATACAGGATGTCAAAGTTTAAAAAAAAAACTCGTTTTTTTTTATTTATAGCTCAAAAACCCCATTCTCGATTTTGGATAAACTTGGCAGATTTGTTTGTAATAACCGAAGGTATCTTTTGATTCAATCAGATTTACCGTTATTATGCCAGTGGCGCCCCAGAGGGAAATTTCGTTAAAAAAAGTAGAAAAAAAATGACATGTCACTGATTTGCGCCACTGGCATAATAGCGATAAATCTAATTGAGTCCAAAGATACCTTTGGTAACGCCATTTGGTTTCAAAAAACTCAGTTGTCTTATTAAGGCTACCCAAGTTCCAACTTATATTTATATTAAAAAAGTTATAGTTTGTACCCTATGTGTCACCTTGTATATGGGCAAATTTGTCAACAATTAGCTGGTTCTGGAAATCATTGTATAGATATTTGGTCCATGGTCCTATGCTGATAAATATTAATGCAAGCCTTACAAGGAGCACATCATAAAAATAGCACTGAATTTTAAATTAATTTTTTTATTAGGTTCAATTAGCGAATCTCTTTCAACTTCAAGCTAATCTGATGTTTTACTCAATTCTTTGATGATGAAAAACCTATCTATAACACATTTATCACATATTGATGGGAAAAAATTGAAACGAAAGGTAGGCAAGATAAAGAGCAAAGACCAATGAGTTCTTGTCTAGAAAAGCCATGAATGCATAGATATGTAAAAGTTTATTTTTAAATAGAAAGAAAATTCTCAGTTTAACCGCCTTGTTATTTATAGAAATGCCTTAGAATTACAAGCTTTTTCAATACGAAAATAAGTGATGACATTATTTTGTAAATGTACCTACTGAAATGCTGAGTTTATGTTTGCATTAAAAGAAAAATTGTGGCATGTAAACTACTTATCAGAATAATGTTTATAGTAATGGCTAGGCATTTACTCGAGCCATCAAATTTTCACAATGGCATTTCCTGGGGCAATTCAATAAAAATAATCACACTTTAGGAGTACCTGAACAGACACAGTAACTCTAAAGAGAGGCTCAAATAGTAAATTACTATCGGAAAAATATAAATCCTGAATAAGATAGGGCACGTAAATCACCAATAAGTAAATTTAATTGTATAGAATCAACTGAGACAACGAATTATTGTTTAATCATTTTATTTTCTAACACAATGAATCACGATTCAAAACCAATTGTGATAATTCACGCAGTTGTATGTGTGTAGGCTCCATGGACATTTTTCCGATTGTAATTTAAATGACTAAAGGCTATAATTCAATGTTTTAACCTCCACCGTTCATTGAAAGGGTTTCCCATAGTATGCCAGAGGTACCCTTTTGTCACAGAGAAATACGAAAATCCCTTAAAAAGCTGGATACAAACAAAGCAATGGGTCCGGATGGCATTCCCGCAATAGTACTCAAAAATTGCGCCAACGAACTCACCCCAACTTTCGCAAAATTATTCAATTTGTCTTACAGGCAAGGAGTATATCCATCATCATGGAAGTCTGCCGCAGTACAACCCATTCCAAAGAAAGGAAAAAAGACAGATCCGTTAAACTATAGACCAATTGCTCTACTTCCGGTGATATCAAAAGTAATGGAAAGAGTTGTGAACAATCACCTAACCAAGTACTTGGAAAAGTACAAAATTATCAACGATAAGCAATACTTTACGAAAATATAGGTCAACTGGCGATTTACTTACATACGTCACTCACTTATGGCAAAAAGCGATTGAGTTGCGGGGTGAAACAAGAACAATTGCCTTAGATATATCTAAAGCATTCGACAAAGTTTGGCATGAAAATCTGCTCAACAAGCTCAAAGCAATGGGATTATCGCCGAAACTTTGCACTTGGTTTGAAAGTTACCTAAAGGACAGATCCATTTATGTTGCACTGGATGGTAAGAACTCCAACTCTTACCAAATAAATGCTGGTGTGCCACAGGGAGCAATCCTTTCGCCAACTCTTTTTCTGATTTAGATAAATGACCTCATAGATAAAACAGTAAATCCACTTTATTGCTTTGCAGACGATGGCAATGTAGTCTCCTCACTCATACCACCCACAGGTCTTTCCGCACGTGAATTCCATCATCTTAGACTAACTCAAATATCGCAGATAAATAACGACCTGGAGATAATAGAGGACTGGGGTAACAAAAACCTTGTACAGTTCAACGCACAGAAAACCCAAGCAGCTCTGTTTTCGAAAAAGAATACCACCGGTGAGCCAAACATCATGCTATCTGGAAGTGCTGTCACATTACAGAATCAGTCGAACATCTTGGGGGTTACTGCAGAGACCAACATGTCTTGGAACAATCACGTGGCAGATATTGCTAAAAGGGCGTCCCAAAAGCTGGGGGTGCTATTTCGTACAAGACATCTGTACACACCAAGCCAATTGCTGACACTCTACAAAGCCCAGATTCGACCAACTATGGAGTACTGCTCACATATATGGAGTGCAGCACCCAAACATACCTTAATGCTTTTGAACACCGTGCAAAAACGAGCTATCAAGCTGATCAATGACCCCGCACTTACTCGTAACTTGGATGGTCTCGAACATCGCATATCTGTGGGCGATTTATCTCTCTTCTACAGGTACTATCACGGAAAATGCTCTGAAGAGTTGGCACATATGATTCCACCGAGAGTAGCGCCTACCAGGCGAACCCGTCAAACAGACGGTAACCATGAATTTACTGTCAAACTAGAGGCACCAAGAACCTCATTATAACAGAATTCATATCTCTGGAGAACAGCATCGCTGTGGAATAAACTCCCTGCGACGGTTTTCCCTGCAGGTTACAACCTGAACCGTTTCAAGACCAACATACACCGACATTTCCGCGCACTTGCCGCTTCTCGAGCGTGATAGGACATTTCCTTGCGAGTGCGCATATCCATAAAAAAAAAAAAAAAAAAAAAAAAAAAAAAAAAAAAAAAAAAAAAATACACATTAATAGACATAAATGAAATTTGACACCAATAAAAAAAAATGTTTCGAAGGCATTCTTAAAAGGTCAGAGGGGAATCAGGACTATGTTAGAAAAGGCAATCTATATATATCTATATATTGGAGTCCCATCACAGGTGCAGTCAACGGTGCAGTCCACTGATGTGACTCTGATTGGAACAAAATTCTCTCTCTTCATAGAATCAACATATCAACGAATTAAATAATAAATTAAGGAGTATTTCAGGGAGTGTTTGCTGCACCTCAAGGAGCCACAAATAGGACTAGAAATATTAATTTTTGGGGGGATTCTGGTGACTGTGAAAGTACCGCAGCACAGGAAGAAACGAGCTATGTGGTTGTGATGTTAAGGATGAAAGTTTCCTGGAACTCGTAGAGGAAAATAGAACATATCTCCTCGCATATCTACGAATTTATCTTTTTTAATATAAGGACAAATTTCATGATTTCAATTCACTGCATGCATATAATTTACCTTAAATTGGAATAATAATTATTTTGTCCACATATTAGCTTTGACAGAGAGACTAGTGATGTGAGTCGAGAATATTCCCATGCGAATATTTGCGAACATTGGGAAATTTCCGAGAATATTCGCCGATAAAAAATGGAAACGTTCTCCTGAATGAGAATATTCCCGGAAACTTTCAATCAAAAACTCTCAAAAAAATATTTCCGAGAACTTTCGAGAATATTCCCAAGAACTTTCCAGAAGAATTTTATAAAAATGTGAGATTATTGTGAATACAAGGTCTCAGTGACGTCATTTCAATTAGGTAATCCAACGACCTGTCCAAATAGCGTCTGGTTGGCAAACAATAAACAAAAAACATATGTTTTTTTTTGGCGGGATTATCAATACATGGGGCGAGTTCTCAAATCTGACACTTTTCTGACATCGTTGACATGTAATAACCCGTATTCTAACCTCATAAAAATTTCAAAATGCCGGCTGGTTGGCAAAAGTCACGTGGCTTGGATTCACTAATTTATGTGGATGACGTAGCTCAGTCCAACTGTCTTTACGGAAACGCTGATCCGATTTACCCAATCACCAGCTGATGTACCTACAGTTTGTCTTTTTTTAAAATAATCTTCATTGAAGAAAAATAAAAAATAAAGAGCTGAGGGATTAGGTCGAGGATTAGGTCAATCGGATCAGCTTTTCCTTTAAAGCCTTATTCAACCATCCATAAAAGTGTATTACTACATAGTTTAATTTTTAGCTGATCTTACAGAAAAAAATAGGTGTCTTTCTTGGTTTAAAGTCTATAGTCAGTACACTACACTACAATAATAGGTAAATAAAGCTTACAACGATTTGTCTGATTTAGCTATACATTAAAAAAAAAACAATATTTCCATAAGTTCCCGAAAGTTTCCAATTTCCCGGAAAGTTTCGGAGAATGTTCGCGGCTTTTGAATGTTTCGGAAATTTTACATCACTAAGAGAGACACCTATGCATGAACCTTTTTCAAAAATTTTAAAGTGTTAGGTAGGTACTGTAGGTAGGTATATTGATAGAAGTAGAACCTTATAGCATCTTAGACCAAAACTTTGGAATCAGGTATTCAATAATATGATTATGATAAACAGGGTGTCCGTCATTCGAGGGTAATTATTGGGATATAGAAAATGGTAAGGTTGGATTTTTTAAAACGGTATTTGGATGCTTTTTAGTCTCCCAATAGCAGTAACACCTCGAGTTACACATTTGCCTGTTGATAAATATTTTTTTTTATCAAAAATAACAACCCATCGAATGCACGTCCATCTACCCATCTCTTTCCAATTGCCTGTTGAAAAATAAATAAATATAAATACAAAAAAATATTCATCAATGGGCAAATATGTTACTGATTTAGGAGACGAAAAAGCTCTTAAATACAATTAAGAAAAATCCTTATTTAGGAAAATAAAATTGATGAATGGTCAGCTAAAGACAAAACGTCGGATTTCCAATTTGGCTACTCCATCATGTAGAAGGTGAAAAGTTGTCCTTATAAAGTTAGGTTTATTTCTCGGTTTATTTTGAAATATGTTTCCAAATGAGCTCTTCGGAATATTTCAAACTTCAAAGTGGCCTTTTGTTAAGCAAGAAAGTGTGCAACTTTGCCATAATTTAACCAAATCTCTTACCATTTTCTATATCCCAATGGTTGCCCTCAACAAACGGACGCCCTGTAGATTTAGGATTTTTATTTGTATTTTATTACACACACACAACATAATAAGCTTTGAGCTCGGCTTTGAGGGTAGTTGAAGTCAATACTTATTCTAATTAGCATCTGTTGGTAAATCAAGACTCTAGAGATGTTACAGGAATTTCCCCAGGCCGGCAGTCTATAGGACAAAATGGAATGAATAGACCCATAAAAAGGATCATCAAAATTCTTATATGACCATAGGTACATGAGAGATGTTGATCTACTGAAAGACCTAGAAATTTTATAATGTCTCAGTGGACTAGAGCTGCAGATTTGTATCTGACCAGTAAGCTTCTGGCTTGAACAACCCCTATCACAACTGATCTTTCCAGTATTAAGTCCACTTTTCTTGCTCCAAAGCAGTAAGATCAAATTTATCTTTTAAATAGGTACAGACCATATGACAAAATGACAAGATGAAAAATGCATTTTTGGAGAACTTGCCTTAAAAGAAAATTAAAGATACCGGGCTCAGCGGGTTGAAAATAGGACAGATATTTTTATTGTGTGTCTAAAAAAATTAATCCGCGCCTACCTACATGATTGAATCACAAGAGATGATCCACCTGAACACCATCCTGCTAAGCAGTGTCTATAAGCTAGGTATAATAATGAAAAAAATATGTTAATATTATGAAAACTGGTTTGCCTTGTACTTGCCAAAAATAATGTGGGACCTACACATTCCGTACCATATCAGTGAGGTAACCCGAAGGCAGCAGAAATCAAGCATTCCAATTATAAGGCACATTTCTTGTGCGTGCGCCATAAACTGACATCGAGACTGACATCAATAATTAAATACCTAAATGTTATGTTGTTTCACTGAAATGCGTATTTTTATCTTCTTACCCTTGTCTTACGGTTATGATGCATCAATCTATGAAATGACCTTTTGATTCTCGCAAATAGGACCAATAAGAGGTTCATTTATTTTGATAAGATAAAACATGAGTATTATTTTAAAATTATTTAGGATTATGTCAGACAATATTTATATGAATAAGGTACAATCATTATTTTCCTTATTCCTTATTATATTAGGGGTGTTAATTAGCAGAACATTAGGCATTCCAGATAATTTTTACAAGTAGGTCCTGTGCAAGTATTTTTTGTATTTTGACTTTTTACCTATAGCAATTACCTGTTTGTTTAATTATGTTATGTGACTATGGTATAAACTAAATATAAATTAAATTGATAATTATCCAAAAAATATTGATGTTTTTAATTCTCACACATGGGTTTACTCTTGATAGTGAATTAATGGCACTAAGGCCACAAGCGGGACAAACAGAAAAACGTTTACTCATGCAGTATGTCATAGCAAATACAAAAATAGCCGAAAATTAGTGCAGATGGTTTGTTGAAAAACATTCTGCAATAATACAATATCCAAAAGAAAATAAATCCACCTATTTTTACAAGGAGAGGCACCTCAATTGAATAGGTGTCAAAAAATATTGCCTGGTTGTCAATTTGTGCAGAGGCTGAGAAAGAATTTGTAAGGATTTGTTTCATGTGTAGCCCTATGCAAATTATTCTACATAATCGATTGTTAGATCTTTTGCATGAAAAATTATAGGAAGGACCCACAGATGGTGGATTTTTTTACTTATATAACGTTGTAATTTACAGTTTGATTAAGGGCCCCAAGGGACAAGTACACCCCAGAAAATAAAGTAAACATATAGAACGATAATCAAACAATTAAACTCACCAATGTTTCTGGATTGATCGTAGCTTTCTCGTGTATTTTCTGCCATTTTGGCACCACTAAAACTACACTATTCCAACGACATATCACATCACATCGAGACCGAACGGAACGGAACGCCGAATATTTAGACAATTAGACATTTGACATATGACGGCTGGAATGCTGATAATTTTAAGCGATTGCGAATGGGATGGCGCTAATGCCTATGCGTCAATTTCTAGCTGGCGCAGCATTTGTGGTAGCATTTTCGGAAAGGGGATTGGGGAATGTTCCGTTCACAACTGCCCTAGGTACATACTTCTGGAATGAATATACCTATCTGTTTAATAATATTATTAAACTTCAAGGTTACCTTTTTTTGGCTTTTTTATCGCTTAAACCCTATTTCAAAGTTGCACCAATGATTTGAAGTTTTTAAACTTCAATTATTGGCATTATTGCCCAACTACCAAATTAATTTCATGCTCTTTCACGGTTCCCCACAAAATAGTATTTTACGTGGCTACTTCTCTTCACAATGCTGCAATTGATTGTCTTGATAACAGAGAAAAGTAGGAAAATGTTGCAGTTACCTAGGAGGAGACGCGTTGAGGTATATTTTGTTAGATGGCGACACTATAGAAGTCTAGCGTCAAATGAATTTAAATGGCCATAAATCCGATAGGACTGATTGTCGCCCCCTTGCTAAATTGCTATAACATGATATGCGACTCGGAGGTATTAGGTTTACAACGATAAACCTCCAGCTGGAATTTTGCGGAGTGGTTGGGTTGGGGAGACTACAGTGACTCAATAAACCACAGTGCCGACAATTGCCGTCCTATTTTTGATTGACTCTTTAAAATCCTATATATCCATATTGAAAATGTGCAATAATATTATGGCGGCGGGAGCGTGGATTACTTCCACTTCCAAGGATACGCACTACTACCACAGGAGCCGAGTTCGTTTTTGTCATCTTTTTCATCGATTTGTTCGGAAACTTTGACAGGCACGTGACGGGATCAGACAATTTTAATTTACAAATCACGTGCCTGTCAAAATTTCGGAGCAAATCGACGAAAAAGATGACTAGCTAAAACGAACTCCGGTATTGGGATAGCCTATCCTCATAAGGCCTGTGTAGATCAAATTTCAAGCCCTCCACCATGCAAAAGCACCAGTGATGACTTAGCGTGTCGTTTTTCGCCTTGACGTGGGGTCGTTGCATCACAGGATTCCGCGAGCTTTTGCTTTATGCATACATGGGCGCCGCCAGCCAGCGGGACAGGGGGGGCCAAGGCACGGGGGGTCCTGCCCCCGTACATACGCCACCGGTGTACATTTTCGCAAGTGTGAAGGTCATTAGTCTTAGATGGCGCCACGATCAAATTTAGCTCGTCGTACTACTTCTATCCTACAGGCACTAAACTTGGATTGGTTTTCTTTGCCTTCCTAAGTTCCTAGCCAGTAGCCATACCGACGAGTCGGGATAGGTCGAAACGCGTCTGTGGATGGAATAGCAGAGAAAATTAATCCAAAAATTTTCTCATCAGTGGATGATAGGAGAAAACTTGTTTTCCCTATTCTGGGTTTTCCCAAATATCTGATTTTTGGTCGGCCTATTAGATGGTTATCACTATCACTAGCTAAGAATTGAAAGCTATTGGCAACAGCGCAAAAATGCGTATTTCAAGGCAGAAATGAAGGTGGAGGTACCTATTCCAAGCAAGGAATTTATCCGTTAACCTATCTTTGCGATTAAAATATAAATATTTTCGTTAATTTCGTCTGTTCTTTCATAAGTTATATCACGTGGATATTATTTTGAATATATTTTTGGCATTCTTGTGCAAAATTCTGTAGAAATTACCCGACGCACAAACATAAAAGCATTAACAAATAACTAAATAACAGCAAAAACCATAGAATAAGGTTTATAGTAGGTATAGAATGGACATTCCCGTTGTACGGGTCGGACCACCATTTGTGGCGCCAACTGTTGTCTATGAAATGAGCTCATCCCATTGTAGCAGCTTGTAGAGAAGTTTGCTTCTTATTTTTTTTTAGATTTGCTTTTTATTTATTTTATAATAAAGACGCAATTTGATACAAATTTAACAAATAACGGTTTATTACAAAGAAAGAAGAAAATTATGTTGGCTTTTCGAAACTTGTCAACAAAGTCAACACTTAACAACTCAGAATTAAATAACAATAAGAAGCACAACGTTTTCCAGTTCATCGTTTTGTCATCATTTGTCATCATAGAATAAGGTTTATAGTGGGTATAGAATGGACAGTCCCGTTATACGGATCGGACCACCATTTGTGGCGCCATCTGTTTTCTATGAAATGAGCTCATCCCATTGTAGCAGCTTGTAGAGCAGTTTGCTTCTTATTTTTTTTTAGATTTGCTTTTTATTTATTTTATAATAAAGACACAATTTGATGCAAATTTAACAAATAACGATTTATTACAAAGAGAGAAGAAAAATATGTTGGCTTTTCGAAATTTGTCAACAAAAGCCGCTTTCCAGCGGCCCATTTTGAGCACGCAATCGAGCTTTTGCGCGCGCAAATGCTTCAAGCGCGTGTGTGTGTTCCAGCCGTACTGCACTCCGAGATCTGCTAACTTTTGCGTTTCAAACACAGAACACTGTGCTGCACCGTGCTTGAAGCACACAGCTGGAAAGCGGCTAATGTCACCACTTAACAACACAGAATTAAATAACAATAATAGTCTAAAAAACACTAAACATAACACTGTGAAAGTCCACAAATACACACAGATAATGCTCTATCACTACGAAACACTTTTTCAACGAACAGAAATATTAAAGCAACAATAAGAAGCATAACGTTTTCCAGTTCATCGTTTTGTCATCATTTGTCATTTCATGAATTTATGTCGGTTCATGTCATAATTTAATTAGTAATCACGTCACCCTTCTTCTGAAGCGGATATACCTTGGAGATACAATCAACAACGCGTACGCAAATCAATTGATAGCGCCTCTACCGGCAGTGGCGGTCCATACATGATTTTCTGGGGGGGGTAATGGATGACGGGAAAATCATCAAGTGACGGAACGTACCGCCGGAGGTAATTTTTTTTTTGAGGTGCCACGCCCAAATTTGCACCCAAAAGTCGTTTAAAAAACACGCTTGGGGCAAAAATGTTTCCCGATGCCGTCAAAATAGTTATACAGGGTGTCCACTTAGTGCGATATCGGACGATATCTTCTTACAGGGTGATGCAAGAGAAAAAAATAAAAATTCAAAGTTGTTTGATTCTCTAAGGTGCATTACTTAAAAATATTTTTAAATATACAGGGTGCTCTGCAAATGGGGTATGCGACAGAAATTCAATTGTTATTTTTAAATGGAACGCACCCTATATTTTAGTACATTCTATCTTTCTAAAAATCCTACATACTTTTTGTTAGGAATCATCATACCAAAACTCAACCGTTTTCAAAATATTTAATATTTTTTCAAAAAATCGCAGCTTGCATGTGTCAACAAAAACCAACATATTTCATCGATTAGAGATCCTATAAACTAAATCTTTTGCAGGTTGTTAGTGCATAATGTCTGTCGAATTTAATCTCATACTCCAACGGAATTTGAGCTGGTGCCTTCCTACATTAGAACGCCAATGGATACCTGACGTCACACCTGTTTTTGCCATATACTTCATCCCCTCGCTCCTCATAGTTCTCATACGGAAAGTGTCAGTTTAAAAACGACGGACTTTACTTACATTTACTGCATGGTCCCATGAAAATCTGTTAACATTCTACAGGGTGTTAGCAATACTGTACACAAAACCAGACATTTCAAACAACCGTAGCACTGTATAGTAGTAAGTACGCAGGATTGTTCGAGAGAGGTAGGTTGCCTGATAATCTCATGACGTCATCTGGGGTGATTCAAGATAATGAAAATCTACATAAGGCCACCAGATGCGTCATCAAGTTACCCATTAACCAGGATGCCTTTAATCCTTTACTTTGTAGAACTTGTCTTTTGTTGAAATTTTGTTATAATTGATAAATGTATGAAAAAAACTTTGTCTGGGGGGGGGGGTAATTACCCCCTCTACCCCCCCTTTAAACCGCCCTTGTCTACCGGGCATGAAACAAGTTTATCATCGAACCAAGTGGTACATTTGAAGATCGCGGGGTATAGCAACAACCATAAAAAAAAACTTCGGAAAACTTGTTTTTGCTATGAAAATAAACATATATTTTTACTTTTTTTTGCTTTAAACATGCAGTCTTCGGAGAAAAGGCTCTTGGAACCTTGGATATTACAAATACAAAATCATCGATAACCAAAGTCAACCAGAATTCTGTCAAAAAAAGAAAACAAAACCCAAAAATGAGGTTAGAATCCAATTAAGCGGAGAAAATCTGGGGCTTAACTTAACTAGACTTGAGGTGGACCCGAAACAGCGGTGCAAAGCAAAATCGTAGTTTAAGTTCCACTTAAGACTAATACTGACCTTAAGTTGTAGCGGTGCAAATAGCAGTAAATACAGCAAAAGGGCTATTTAGTGTTGAATCTTAGTCTTAGATGGCGCCACAATCAAATTTCGCTCGTCGTACTATTTTAGAGCTGTTTTACACGGCAAAGTTATTCCACGAAATTATTCACGAAATTATTGTTTAGTTTACTATACTTGGTTTCGGTTTTTCCTGTTTGACACGGCAGATAAAATTTAGCAAAAGTTTCGTGAAAATATTAGTCATACGCAGGCGCAGTTAAACTGTGTTTTTTTTTAAAGATAAAAGTCAAAATGACATTATGTTGGCAATACAATGTAAAATTGTCAATGCTTTCAAATTTTTTATGTAGAAAAGGCTTGTGCTGCCAACATAGTTACTAAATTTTTGACTTGGGGAATTATCTTAAAAAAAAAAACGAACTTTACGTTTTGCGTTTGCCATCAATAATAGGTACTTTTGAGGGCCGATCCTTTTGTTCTCGATTAACGAATTTGATACGTCGTCAAAGTTTTGCATGGGCCAAGGTCTATAAGTATGATGTGGTTAGAGCACATTCAAACCCCTGATTATTTTTAACGGCTGTCAAATGAGAGCAAAAGTACCGGCACTGAGTTAGACAAAACACGTTACCGCTAACGTAGGATTTGACAGGTAACTTGCC